TTTGGTTTTCTAGGACCAGTGTCTGTAAACTTAGTAAATCCAGAACCACTTTCCAGAGGAGCAGTGCATCTTTCAATCCAAACCAAGTTCTCTCAAAGTCACTAGATAATTTATTCCCCAGAGAATACTCATTAGTGTTGCAAAATTGATGTTGTTTATGAAGATGCAATTGCATTACTGGTAAATTAGATTTCAATTCTCCTGCATAAACGTACTATATGGTTTGCCCATTTCCTTTCATACATTATACATTCCATAAAAGACTTATATATCTTAACTAGTGGGTTTTTTCCCCTCATTTCCAATCACTTGAAATTACTTTAAAGGTTTTTTTGATAAAGATGAAGAAGTTCAGTTCTAGTGGAATACTGGCAGTTTCAGACCAGAACATTCACTATTATATGTGCCAAAAGATCCACCAGGCTTATGTCATTAGACATTCTACCTTCAGTTATGAATATAACCTCAATTGCTATTACAGATGCATAATATCCCCAGTTTAACCACAATAGGTTTTTTGAAAAAGGAAAACAGTGGAGTTATTGTAACTTGACACAACAGCTAAGAACAGATCTGTAGGAGGACAAAGACACAGCAAAAGCAAAGAGAGTCCCTGACACACCTATCTCCTTTCCAGTAATCCAGAACACTGACTCAAGATTGCAGAAGTTTTTTTTCCTTATACTTTGCTTTGACATATAATCAAACTAGGTAGTTTCCCAGGTTACCAAATTCCGTAGTGTTAAGACACAGTTCTGATAAACTGGTCAACAGGGGGAAGAAAAAGCTCAACAGCACAGCCTTGTGTGACAGTGGACTGTATCTGTTTCAGCATCTTATAAAAAATAAATGCAAGAAAGCATAGTCCAGTCTTATCTTTAAAATATTTCAAGAGGAATGTATTTTTTAAGAAAATGCTATGCTAAACCATAAACTATTCACAAAGAAGATTAATTAGAAGCATCACCATAAGAAAATACTTTAAACTATGCAACCAACATCATAATTGTAGAAATGATGTCAGAAGAGGCAATGTAGTTCATGCTCTACATTCAAGCAACATGCAACTTCCATAGAAAATTTATCAGTAAGAGGAATAAAATGGCAAATTCAATTATTTCTTTCTTTTGTCATGGGATATTTCTACATAAAGCTGCCCAATGTTTTTCCATCTTATATATTAAAAAAGTATTTTTTAAAAGAAAAATTGAACTTTTAAAATTAGCTTAGTATTTTGAACAGAAGTGGTATTTTATGCTATTTAGTATGACCTAATGTTTGGCCACTGAACAGATGTCATTCTATCTACTAGAATTCATAAATATTAAAGCTGTCAAAGTTAAACTATTAATTCTATTTTATTAACTACATTTTAAATGAATTATGTTATTAATTACTTAAGAATCATAATGGGCCCATCCTTGCCAAGTACCAAAGAGAAGAATTCAATTACATTATTAAGTATTTCATTATACACAACTGACTTTCAATCTGTAGCATGATGAACAATCAAAATAGACAGCTAGTGTCACAACACACTATTAAAGTAAGTGCTTCAGTGCCAAAAGAGGAATGCTCACTTTTTTTCTCCTCTCATCTGGCAAGACCAACAGACAGGAGTGGAGAGGTAAAGCACAGATGACTTATGTCAATACTAACACATAAAATGGCCTTCCTTCCAATCAGTTGCAGTTGCTCGCACACACACCAGCAGCAACTTGCCATTGTCACTGTAGTAACAGTACCGAGCATTGGTGCACCAGAAAATGCTCAGCAGAGGGAAAAGAAATACACAGAAAACAAAAGAAAGGCGCAGAAAACAAAAAGGAAAGAAAAAAGAGTAAATTCTCAGTATCTTGCACTGTCTGTTGTTTTGTATCTTGGGGGGAGTAGAGGTGGAAGTCACAACACACTAGTTAATACTACATAAAAACCTGAAGCAAGGAGAAGACTAGGAGGGAAGAGGGAACATGACAGCATTTAAATGTAGAAACTATTTTATAGTACTAATGTTTAAGTCCGCATAAAGTGAATTGATAAATGACTGCAGCGTAAAACTGAAAACACAAGAACCAGCTTATACATCTGTGTTTCTAACTTAGTGCACAAATTTCATTTTTTCAGGCTCAAGAGTTGAGGGAAGGAAACCTTTTGTATGAACGTAGAAAGGGCTTAAATAGTGGAATCAAGGAGCACCATAGTTGCTACAGCAAAAAATACCTCAAAAGCCAGCATCTGCTCAGTAATTTTGCTTCATTAGGGAACCATGTCAAATTATTTTTTGGTACCTAAAGAAAAAGTAATTAATTGACAGTCATGTAGCAGATGAATTATGCTGAGGAAAGAACTAAGTCTGGAAAAAGCTGCAGGCCATAATACTCTGGGGAGAAAGAGTTGCTGTATGGAACAATGTTGTGCCCATCCCTAAGCAGACAGAGGAAAGCAGAGCAGCAGCTTCTAAAGCCTTTACATCAAAACATTGTTATATAGAGGGGGGAAAAAAGTCACAAACACTTTAGCTTCAGTCATTGCCTACTGCCTTTTGTGTATGTCCAGCTTCATGAAAGGTTTTTCTGTAAAAGCTGAAAATACATGCTGCAGTGAACCAAATCTTGTCATCTTTACAAATCTGAAACAATAGGTGGAAAAACGGCATTTTATTGTGTGTCCTTGTGACTAAAGAACTAACTTTTCAGGGTGATAAAACACAGGGTTGACAGGAGGAAAAAGAAATAGGATACTATCCATCCTCCTTCTCTCCTCTCATTTTAGATTTCAGCTAAGTCAGGTCACACAGAGTAGCACAACAGAGAAGAGTGTAAATTCTTGTGAAAGTCTCTGCACCACAGTCTCTCTTCAATCTCCTTTTGATTTTATCCCGACAGTCCCCCCCTCACTGACACATTCCCTCTTATTCTATCCACTGCCTTTCACACCTCTATTCTACTTTACTATTAATTACCAAACGCAAAATACACAGTGGGGGAAATTTTGGTCTAAAAAATGGTTAAGTAAAAAAAAGGAGTTAAAAAGGAAACTGTAATTGTATAAAAATTGCATAAACTGGCAAACACTGAGAAACAGCCTCTTTTAATCCTCAGGAACCAGAGGACATTGGTTCCCCTTCTTTTCTCCAGTTCAGCAACAATATTCTTGCACTTACACAAAAAAAATGGCTTTTGCCCTGTGTGAATAAAAGCTGAGTATTACGTCATCCATAATGCAAGAGGAAAGGCTTGAAGACTGTCTGCTGTATTATCCCTTTTAAATAACATTGTTGGAACTTACTATGAGTGATAGCACTAGGAAGCCAAGTCAAGACAAAGGAGGACTGGAATAGGACAGAAAATCCTGAACAGTTAATACTTTATACTGGTCATTCTTTAAGTCTACAGCAGGAAACTATTTACCTAATAATTTTCTAAGGCTTTTATTTAAAATTAGTTCAAAATATTATGCCCCAAGTTAACCACTAGTATTACATTGTACTACTGTGAATTTGCATTGCTGTGCAATGTTCATAGAAGAGAATATGAATTTACTCCAGTGATTTAAAAGCATTTTATTCTGTAGTTGGTAATAATTTAACTGCTTGATTTATAACATGCTTAAGTAACAAGAAAAACTGCTACCTTAAACTCTTAAAAAAAAAAAAAATCAGCTAGAAGTGTGTGGCTGGTGCAGTCAAACAGAACTTTACTACCCTCTCTGACTGCTCTGAACATAAATCTTTTTTAACACATGGATGGTACTTTTCATTTATTTGTACTTATGAACTAATGGTGGAAAAATATGTCGAGTTGCATGGAACATTAATGCCCACACACACTTCACTTCCATAACCCACTGCACTGATGGAATAAAGACAAGACAGTGAGCCTTTTCCCAGTATAGTTTTCTGGTCTCTCTTCTGAAATACAGGGTACAGAGAAACCTGTGATAGCCCTTAAAGACAGGAAGCACCAAAACCATTATTAGTGCATCGCCATGCCTGACAATTTATTCTGGGAAGTTCTAGTCTAATAAGAGCTCTTATGACACACATACCCATATGCTGGATCACAGGTAACAGTATATTTGTATTTCAGCTCTGTGTTCAGAGCATATACACTACATATGTTAACTGTGAGGAATAAGAAAAGCTCCAGATCAATAAACTGTTCAAGCTCCGGCCTAATAACTGAAGGTTGATCTACACAGACTTGTATGGAAGTGCCTAGAAGACTACAAACTCTTTTCTAATCTACACATCCATGTGAACCATAATATTCTGCAGCAGGAAATGTGTCCATCCTCTTCTCCCATTTAAAAGTGAAATAAGCATATTTAAAAAATAAAAGTTGTGAAGAAAAAATTCTAATCAAATTTGTCTGTAAGCTAGCACTAAGGAAAAAAAGAATAAGCATTTGTTTAGAAATCAGAGTATCTTTAATTAAATTCTTATTGCAGTCTTAAAACCTTTTTAGGCTAACTTGTAGCAAAAAGGACAGGTTTATTCTAATATGTAGCTCTACAACTGCCTTTAAAAGGTAAGACATTGTAAGGATGTTGAAGAATCAAGTCCTATTGATCTGAGTTAATGTGCAGATCATCACTGCTGGCACAAAAGAAACAACAGAAACATGGCTGGGGAAACACTGACCTTTAATTTAAATACATATAGAACACTTGAAGCACAAATAAAATACACCATTCACAGAAGAATGGCTTAGGAGTAGGTAGGGAATCGTATAAGCCTAATTATGTCAGAGCAAAAGCATGTCTGTGCATGTGCATTCATGGAAAATTTGGAATATTAAGCATATCTTCCTGTGCACAAGATCCTTCCCTACATAGTTGCATAGTTTTCCTGTCTCTTAGAGGTAAACAGAAAAGACAGAAAGCGAACTACTGAAATTAGTGGCAGAAATATGAAAGAAACAATGAGTTTCTCCCATAAATGACAACAATAATATTTTCATTGAAGGCTTCTCAGCTCCATTTACTCCACAGTGCCATACCTGTTGAAGTTAATGTCTGGATAACTAGAATACTCAGACTTCATCTTCGCATTGCGACGTGGAAAAGTACAGAAGAAAGCATTGGCCAGAAAACTAGCAATCTGTTCCTGTGACATTGTGATGGAGTGATTCATCTTTTGTTTCAGTAGAGGTATTGGCTACCAACAAAAGAAGTGAGGGGGAGGGAAGGGCAGGAGAAAAGGGAGGGAAGGAGAGAGAAAAATAATTAGCTTACCTATTTTAAAAGAAAAAACAGGAGCACAAAATTACATCTGTTAAATTAGAGCAAGAGTAATTTAGGCCATTGGTGAACCCTTTAATCAGCAGCACCATTAAAGTCAAGAACAGTTTATTCAAGACAATTCAGAAAAAGCTTGCTTGACAAGCTGCAGATTTCTAATCAGTAATAAAAGGAAAGACCAAGAAAACACAACTTATCAAACAAAACCATAGGAAATGGAGAGGGGGGAAAAAAAAATAAAAATAGATGGATGTCACAAATTCTGGGCAGTCTTAAAAACTGAAGTAGAAACCCACTTTCAATAGCTGTATAGTTAAGAACCCTGAAGGAATGCTTTCAGCTACAGTAACCATGCTTTATAATTTACAAAGAAAGGTGGAAGTCACGCCACAGATCATCACCCTATGACTTGCTTTGAATTTTTTTCCATCCTACTTGAAGAAATAACACAGCTAATATTTACAGAAAATGTATTATTATCCATTCTTTTATAGTCAGAATGAAAAAAAGCTCAGCTTCACTTTGGTCTTCAGTTTGGAGTTTTATTTAACTCCCTGAAGTGACACACATCTTTCATTTTATCAGGTTTTAGTGTCCTCATTTGGAATTTTCACTCACCACATTCATAGCAATTTTTTTTTTTTTTAATTATGTGATAATCTGAGGGTGTGGGGAATATCATTCTAACTGCTAAGGAGTCCAGTAACAATTACAATAAATCCACTTGACAGGAGAAAGAGAACACAGTTTTCACCCCTTGTTCCAACATTCTCAGCCATCACCATTAACCTAGCTCCAGGAGAGCCAAGCAACTACGTTTCGATCCTTTTAGTTGTGAAAACAGAAATTTCTACTAATTTAGACTGTTGAATACACAGTCCTGTTTACTCCACAAAAACCCCAATCCTTCATTCTTTTAACTACTACATTCACATTCCCTGAATCTCATTCTGTCTTCTGGCTATTTAATTAACAAGCCATATTATGATGTCTGAAGTCATACAGCTAGAGGGGCAAAAAAAAGGCTGAGAAGCTCTCTCTAGTAAGTCCTATGAGCCTATAGAAATAGGATTCTTTGGACAGTATGTTATACTGGAACAAATTTAGCTTTATGTCTAATTGAAAAAAAAAAAAATCTGACAAAATTCTTCACAATTTACAGTGCTTAACAGTACATCTTTATAAAAGGCATTACTACATGAACTTGCAAGTCTTATGCTTGACTTTGTGTTCAGAAACTTCATACCATCCTCAAAAACGTCCCCCACTGAGTGACTACTAAAAAAAAAAATATGAAATATTCCTACTGTTTGAAATGAGGTATCTACTATAGGACCCTTGCAGCATAACAAAGTAGGGAGAGATCTTCCCTGCTCCTGTCTAAAAATCAATTTAGAAAATTGTAACAAAGGAGTTTACAAATTAGAGTCGTTAACCTGCTAATGTGTCTCCTATCATGCATCCTCACTTACTTGATCAGTCCTATTCACTTTTATTAGCTTTGCTACCTACAGAATTGATTCCCATAACAATAAAGAATTAGTTAAGGTTTATAGGTGCACAAGTACTGTGATGCTCTAACTAGAATAAAATATGCTCCCAAGTAAATGGCTTTATGAAAATACTACTTCTAGGATTAAAAAATTCTAAAACAAAAAATTAGACGGTTTAAGATTATTTAATTATCTCAGTTTATAAGTGTGATTTTTCAAATCTGAAATACTTCATGGTCATTTCATTTAAGAAAAGCAAGAAACAACTTCAGCATACAGAAGGGAAAGTGTTACTGAAGTACATGTCATATTTTTAATATGACAGCAAGACTTTTTTTTACATTCTATTATATCATTATAGATGTGCATTGTCCATTCTGCTCCATAGGCCTCAGCTGCATTCAAGACAAAACCTATAGCTTTTATTAAGAACATAACATGATCCTGATGTTTGGACCTTAGCCATTAGTTACAGTTTGCAGAGAAGTGGTCTGCCACAGAGCACTCAGCTACCTGTGTTTACTTACCTGGGTGCAGATACTAGGGAGACAGAGCGCCAGCTTGACCATATCAGGAAGAATGGACTGGAACAAATGTTGAGCCTCTGCATCTTCAAGAACCTGTGACAAAAAGAAAGGCGGTGGAGGGAAGCTGTTACCTCAGAAATAATGATTATACAAAAAGTTTGTGAGAATAGGACCCATCCAAAAGGTAAGAGAGGGGAAAAAAAAAAAAAAAAAATAGGTCCTATTAGCTTCACGCAAGTCTGTAGCATTTCTCATGCTAGAACCTCACTGCATTTTACCTTGCAATAATCCACTAATTGAAACACAGAAGCAACTCTCAAAAGTTGCACTTGAGAAAATGTGTCACCAAATGCCCTATAAAGGAACCTTGAATAAGTTATCATTTGACTCTTTCCAAAGCAACGAACCAAATTCTCAACTGGTAACAATTAGGGATTGTAATCACTAAAGTAATCACTTTCGTAATCACGAAAGTACTGGAATGATTTATTTAACTTTCATATTCAGCTCATAGTCCAAGACAAATACCTGTGACACTCTCCTGTTAAAGTTGTACGAAACACACTGCTGGGTCAGATCAGTGGTCCTCAGCAGCAGCAAGAGGAAATGCTATTAAGATGACCATGCAAGTCTGGCCACTTTCTGCTGTTCATCCCCACCACGTTCCCTCAAGAACTATTGCCACTGGATTACATATGTTAAAGGGTGCAGCCTGCCTGGTCCCACATGCTGAAGTTGCAATCTTTTCAGTCTGTAAGACAGCTGAGCCTACGACTATTTTAGCTGCCCCTCTCCACCAGCTCTAACACTCCTCCTGAGAAAGAAAGACTAGAATTGACAATACTAAAAAAAATAAAAAAAAAATGAGCACACCAATGTTTCACAAGGCTTCTCAAAGCTTTTACACTCAAGACTAAGTCACATCAAATCCTTCTTATCCTATTCTCAATTCCCTTCCTGACACTGTCTGGCCCTCTGTTGCCACGTTTGGCTGCCAAAGTGTACCAAGACAATGTATTCAGAGAAAGTCTGGGATCTCTCCTCTAAGTTGCAACTGCCAGTTCTGAGCTCCATATCACATACCCACAGTTCAGATGAAGCCACCCACATCCCATCCGCCCATTCATGTATCATACACCTATTTTTAAAAGGTACAAAATGTTCTTTATGGTGTGCAATGCTCTTTTAAGAAAAGCTAGGATAGGCACATGAATGGGGAGATGTGAAAAGAAAAGCAACTAAAAGCAGGGCAGCTGCAATACACAAAGCGGCCTAAAAGCATGCAATATCCTCAAAAGCCTCACTTTCTACCGTATGAACGGGCTGAAGTAAGATCAAGAACAAAAAAGCACATTCTCCATCTTCCTGCACAGTGGTGCAGTTTTTCCCCTGATCTAGGTGCCAGATGTGACTGGCTGTTAGATTTGTGTACTGAATTTAAGGCAAAAAGCAGAGAGAAGAGAACACTCAACTTGTACTACAGCTGTGGAATGGAAGACGAAGGTCACAGTTCAGCCTTCTGCCTCCCTTTTTCCCCTACATCCAGGGAATCTGTATTTGAGACAACCACCTTCTACCACTTCCTATATTAAAATAAATAAAATTCTGAAATTGTGGCTTCAAAACTATAGAATATTATTTTTCAAGTAAAAATGTTAGGAAATAATTGGATTTACTACCAAGTTCACACAAAAACAATAGTAGACAGAATGGTTGAAACAGCATCAATGTATTATCATCTTTAGTCTCTTCAACAACTAATTGTGAAAACACAGAAAGTGATGTTTAATAGTCATGTAACCAAAGCTTTGCAATTCACAATTCAATGGAAAGTTTCACACAGACTTCAGAATGTAAGAGAGATACTTGCATTTTTCTTGAGAAGAGGAAAATACTATGCCTCTGTTTCAAAATATGCTGTTCCCTATAAACACCAAGCTGAAAATATTGTTTGGAGGCTAACAACTTCTGTTCTTCCAAGATCATCAAAATACCTCTAGAAGAATCTCTGCTCTATTGCCTCCCATTCCAAGTGATATAAAGGGGGAGGAGTACTCAGGAAGTTAAACACAAACTAACGCTTCACAAAAAACTTCTAGTAGGGAAGGGCGGAAAAATAAAACAATGCCAATATCCGCGAGAGTTACTTTTCATGCCTTATGTATGCTGCTCATGGGGACATACAAACAAGGTTTTAATTTAAAGTTTTAAATTGAAACGAGACCTTACAAAGAACAGCAAGCCTAGGAAACAAAAATATTTTTATATAATAGAGGAGGAATCAAAGTAATATACAATTTATTACTGAAAGTCAACTTTTTTTTATTTGTAAGGTTAAGAAATGAACAAGGTGAGTCTCTCTCTCTCTCCTGTTCTTGGCTGCACAGGCACTTACATATTCACAAAGTATAAGTCAGATATTGAAAATTATGACCTAACCTCTAACATCAGATGCTCTAGCAGGAAACTCTGCTCTGCTCTTAGGCACAATGTTTTTAAGTGCCATAAAGTAACAAAATGAGCATTTAAAGGCTGGAATTTCAGATCTCAATACATAAAATGAATATGTAAGTTAAATCTATTCAAAAGATGACATTTAACCTCAGATGTCTACCAGGCTGTCAAATTCTGATATTCTCTCCCCTTCGGGTAACGCTTCCTGTCTTTTAAAGTTGACATATAAATAGTGGCTGCTATGCTTTGCTGACTGCCACAGACTATACAGTATCACTTATCTGGTGACACATTATGGCACTGGACTTTGTCATAGCCGTCAAGACTTCAGCCTTTTCTTTATGTTTCTTTGAAAAGAATACACTAATAGTATCAGGCAATTTCTTTCCAAAATAGAAGCAGGGCCAGCAATTGCAAAGCTCAGCTCTGATGCAGAATTCATAACCACAAAAGTAACTTCTTAAACCCTAAAATTCTACTTTTTCTTCTCCTTACCTTCCTAATGTTGTTCCAGAACATGCTCTCCTCTTTACATTATTTCTATGAATGACTTTTACTAGGGTCCACCAATGAAAACCTCAGAATTTGAAGCTGTTAGTGCCAAGAAGTGTTCCCACTGGACTTCAGACAGATTATTCTTACACGGAAATGACAAATAAGGTTTTGTTGTTTTGCAAAGTGTGTTGGGTGCCATGAAAACCTTACTACATTTTCACAAGATAAGTCAGTTAAGGGACACCACAATGTTAAAAAGTTGCTCACTGTGGGTTCACAGACCTTGCCAGGAGACTCCTAACTCTGCATCATTTGCTAAAACCACCAAGCAGCCCTGTTTTGAATACGCCCCGATTGAGGCAAAGTTCTCCTAAATATTGCAGGGCAGCACATCAACAGTTTTCAAGCTCAAATATAGTTTGTTTCTTCCTGGAAATGTTATAACTTCACAAAATAGCATAATCCAAAACCACAGCTGTTCAACTGCAGGTGCTGTTTTTTTGTTTGTTTTAAAATAAATAAATAAACAACCCACTGAAAAAACCCCCACCAAGAAAACAAACACCACAAACCTTTTCTCCCTAAGAAATTTTCTCCCTAAAAATAACTCCTTGGTGAACTGTTCAGTTCTGTGCTTCCCATTTTTACCTTGAGGCTCTAACCCATTATTGAACAGTGGCAGTAAGCCAGAAATACGTATCCTTCCTTGCTTTAAGTTAAAAAAAAAAAAAAAAAAAAAAAAAAAAAAAAAAAAAAAAAAAAACCTAAGTAACTTGAGTCATGGCCACATCCACCTAAACACAACTTACCCTTTCTGCCCACAGACTTTTCCTGTACCAGCAACATTCCTATGAGCTGTCTATGAAAAAGCACCTGGAAACCCCTGGCTGCTTGGCCCTCATCCTCTTTTGACCACTAAACCAGCATGCCACTACACTTGCAGCTTTGTAGACCAACCACTGTCACTGCATATTCTCAGCTATGCTGTTTTTACCTGTGACAGGCTTTTCAGACTTTGAAAGCAGCAAAAAAGAACACTCAATCATGGAAAGCAAGAGGACATGGAGTGCTGACACCACAGCTACATCTGACAGACGTCCCACGACACAAATGCCAACCTGGGAGAACCTAGCAACGGTAGAGAGAATACCTGGCCACAGAATTGAATAAAGATTTATTTAGCAGGAAACCCTCTTCAGGAAGCAGTGACTTGCACTGATGTAAAATCCAGCATGTTTAGAATCATATTACATATACTATTTATTTGTTGCTGCTGAAAGAGGGATGTGTCATTCCTTCCCCTCAAACACACACACACACCACATTTCACCAGTTCCTATGTTCATCTGATAATTTCCTGAGATCCTTCAGCTTGCTAACACTACAGGAAAACAGCTTGGGGGTGGGGCGAGTAGTCTTCCACTGCATTAATAAATTCAAACTAGCCTGCCAAAAAGTCATGTATTATTAGATGTTGTGCAGGGTGGGTGGTAGGCAAAACAGAACCAGTCATGCCCCTTGTCAGTGGGCTACAAGGGCAGATAAATTGCAACTCTTCTCAGTGAAAAAGTGGTAATATTCTAGTTAGTATGAAGCTGTTACACAAGCAACTCACTTTGAAGTAAAACTCCTAGTACAGGAACATCTGTACTGATTTAGTAATCTAACATTTCTTTTATAACTTAAGGAATTTAAAATATGAAAAGGTTGTCAACATTTTTTATTAAAAAATGTATTAAGGATGACAGCAATTTTGTTTTTAAATAACTGTTCAGTTTCTCCTTTCCTTATTATGTGTACATGTCCTTTGCAGCTTCCTTCAGGATTTTAAATAAAAGCAAAAATATATTGTTGACTTTATTCATAGTCCTCCAATCACGCAAAAAAATTATTTAGGAATGGAATAAAAGCAGGGGTCATACCCCGAGGGAAAAGTATATGGAATCAGAGTTGCTAAGCATGACTTGCCTTTTGCCAAAGAAATCACTTGGCAATTTCATCGGTATTTGCACTGGAATGACTGATTAAATGAACATGACTTAGGGCTCCAATTCATAAGATGCAAATGGTTCAGCGAGCTGTAGCAGAGGTAAGAGCTCTTGGCCAAACTTGCATTACATTTTGCAAAATGAACATTTACACTG